ATCACTATCACAAAATTTTTTTTTTTTTTTTTTTTATTTGATTTGATGTGATTTTGACTTTACACATCACTAATTAATGTATTATATATATGTTTGTGTATGTACCTAAAGGAGTAGCGCTACATTTTTTATTGTATTTATTTATCACAATCACTGGTATATGATTTAATGTTAGCAGCTTCTCCTGGTGTTTTTTATACAGTTGAAACACTTGGGACCGCAGGAGGTCCACACCACTAATGTAGCAGAATACATTTTGGCCTAAATTTATGAAAAACAAAGAAACAAAAAAAAATTTTTTAAACAAACTTTTTGGTCTTTTTTAATTTATTTAGCAAAAATTAAAAAAACACATTGGTGACTAAATACCCCCAAAAGAAAGCTCTATTTGTGTGGGTCAAAAAACTATAAAAAAATTGTTTTGGGTACAGTGTGGTATGACCGCATAATTGTCATTCAAAGTGCAAAAGCAGTGAAAGCTGAAAATTGGCCTGAGGAGGAAGGAGGTAAAAGTGCCCAAAATTGAAGTGTTAAGAACATATCATTAATAAATTGCACATTACTCTGTTATTAGAACTGATACTTGGAGGGACAAGGATTTTATTAGAGAGGTTTAGGCTAAGAATGTTGCCTAAAACGTAGAGTATGGTAATTGTGATGAGGGAAGTCTAAAGAAGATCTATGGTCACAGCATACACTTTCTTTTATAACATCAGCAATACAACAATACAAGCTACAGTTATTTTTGACAATCCAATACAAGCTTACTTGAAAAATAAGCTGTTGTGAGTTCTGCCTGTCTGCTGGCCATCTGATTCCACTCCATAACAAAGTGAGGGAAATCCACTCTTAAACAGTTGTCACTGAAACAAGTGTCCCTATTGGAAAGCATCTATTCTTTTTGTGGTGACAACTTAAAATGTTGTAGCCGTAGACTGATTGTAGCCGTAGACTAGTAAGGGTGTCCATGCTGACATCATTTTCTTTCACTGAGGTGGATGCCCAGGTGTATGTGTGTCACTTACCTGGGAAAGAGATGGCACCAGGATGCAGTATGGGAAGAAGCAAGCCAACAGAGGAAATGTGATGCTTAGAGCAATGTCCTGATGGGAAACCTTTGGTAATGCCATTCATGCAGATGTTACTTGACACATACCACCTACCTAAACATTGTTGCTGATCAAATACACCCCTTTATGGAAACGGTATTCCCTGATGGTGGTGGCCTCTTTCAGTAGGATAATGCACCATGACACACTGCAAAAATCATTCAAGAATGGTTTGAGGAACACAACAATAAGTTCAAGGTGTTGATTTTGATCTTAATCCATTGAGCAACTGTTGGGTGTGTTGGAAAAAACAAGTGTGGTCCATAGAGGTTCTACCTCACAACTTACAAGACCTAAAATATCTGCTACTGCTTGGTGCCAAATACCACAGAATACCTTCAGATGTGTAGTAGCATGCATGCATCAACAGGTCTGAGCTGTTTTGGAGGCAAAAGGATGACTTACTCAATTAGATGGGCAGGCATAAAGTTATAGCTAATCAGTATAAACATTTTAGACAATGGCACATAAATATTAGCAGCTTAACCACTGAGTGAAAGGTATAACTTTTTGAGATGTGGTAGGGTTGCCTTTTTCTATAAAAAGAGCTCATAAATATAGACAGCCATGGCCAAAATATTGGCACCCCTGCATTTCTGTCAGATAATGCCCAGAAAATTGTTTCATTTACAAATGTTTAGGCATTCCTATGTTTATTTATTTTGTTTGTATTGGTATGACGCAAAAAGTGGAGAAACAAAAATCCACATCTGACACATTCCAGCAAAACCCCAAAAATGAACTGGACAATATTTTTGGCACTTTCTCAAAATTGTAAGAAATAATTGCATTACAAGTTTGTGATGCTTCTGTAATTTGTAATTAAACTCACCTGTATCAATTAACAGGTGCTGACAATATAGAAATCACACCGGCAACCAGTTAAAATGGTAAAAAATTTACTCAGGCTTTCTGTTGTGTGTCTCTGTGTGCCACATGGAGCAAGGAGAAGAGAAAGAGCAGCAAACAATTGTCTGAGGATTTGAGAACAAACATTGTGGAAAAGCATGGACAACCTCAAGGTTACATGTCCATCTCCAGAGATCTTAATGTTCCTGTGCCACTGTGAACAACATTATCAAGAAGTTTACAGTCCGTGGCACTGTAGCTAAAAATTGATCAAAGATTGCAATGAATGATCGTTTGAAAGGTGGATAAAGTACCTCAGTCAACTTCCAGACAAATTCAAGCTGATCTTCAGGCACAGGGTACAACTTTGTCAGCTTGCACTATACATTGCCATCTGAATGAAAAGGGACACTATGGTAGGAGAACCCCACTGCTGACACAGAAACATAGAAAAGCTAGATTGGAGTCAGCCAAAACTTACCTGAGGAAGCTAAAATCCTTTTATTCTACTGTTTTCAGAAAAAGCCTTTAAATGAAAGAATACAGTGTCTAGAGCCAAACATGGTGGAGGTTCACTGGTGCTTTGGGGTTGCTTTGCTACTTCAGGCACTGGATGTTTTGAGGTCAGATGTCATGGGTCTTACAGCAGGACAATGACCCAAAGCACACATTAAAAAGCACCCAGAAATGGTTTCAGACAAAGTGCTGGAGAGTACTGAGCTTAGCCAGCAGTGAGTCCAGATCTCAATCCTATAGAGCACCTGTGGAGAAATCTCAAAACATCAGTTGGGAAAAGGAACCCTTCCAATCTGAGAGACCTGGAGCAGTTGGTGAAGAGAGTGATCCAAAATTCCAGTAAAGAGGTTTAAGAAACTCATTGATGGTTACAAGAAGCAATTTATTTCAGTTATTTTTTTCAAGGAGTGTGCTACCAAATATTAAATTGAGGGTGCCAATATTTTTTGGGAGTTTTGTGTGGAATGTGTCAGATTTGGCTTTTTGTTTCGCACTTTTAGTTTTGTGTCATACCATTACAAACAAAAAAAATAAAGAAGAGAATGCCTAAACATTTGTAATTGCAACAACTTTCTGGGCAAAGTGGTGCATTATCTGACAGAAATTCAGGGGTGGCAATATTTTTGGCCATGGCTGTAAAATTGTCCTAGGTTTATCTTAAAAAGTTAAACTATCCTAAACTTTTTATATTGTTTTTAATAGATTTGGGAATGGTTAGAACACTCCGATACTATTCATGATAAAGGCAATAAGAAAGAAAGTTATTATTGAGGATTACGGAGCTTCCAATGTCCAATATCTAAAATTATTTAAACTTTATGTAGCACTACTGTGCTACTAGAATAGTGTAGTGTATTGTAGGTAAAATCATTGTGTATGACTCATAGTAGTTGTGTGAGTCTTGTGATTGAGGTCGGGTTATTGTAGATCGGCTGGATGACTCAACAGGTTGTAGCTCGATCGCCTCCTCCTCCTGACTCTGGAGGACCATAGAACCTTCCAGAAGGAGGTGAGCAGAAAGGGGTGGAGACCTGATCTGCATGTTCATGGGAATCCAGCCAATCCCAGGTTTGCAGGCCCTGGTAGAATAGTGAACTGGGAGAGTCAAGCTGACAGAAGAGTAAGGTGGAAGATGGAGTGCTGAGGAGAATGTCAGAGCCTGAGAGGTGTCCCCTAGGTCTAGGGGTGCTGGCCTCCAGGTTGAGATCAGGCTGGGTCAGGAGGATACATTCAGCAGTGAGGCATGAATGGGATCGAGACCTGGAGCAGCAGGGAGCAAAGAGGACAGAATGAGTATAGTAGCACTCTCTGGGATCTACAAGGAGAAATACTGCCACACGTAGCAAGCTTTCTAAAGACAGCACTGAGCTCAATCCTTTATCCTTGTCCCGGCAGATCTTCCGAGAAGCCAGGAGGGCTGGAAGTGTTTGCAGGCTGTGGAGCTGGAAGCAGCTCTACAGGGGGAGAGAAGACATCTCTGCATGTAGTTGCAAGAAGTAAAGCTAATTTTTGAGGGGTTGCTAGTTTCTCGCTCATAAAGAGCAGCTGCTACTGATCCACGACAACTGATGGCTTTCAGGAATGAACAGTCCAGGATCTGCCTTTGTACATAGGAAGGAAGTGTCCCCCTTCCATTATTTCAAGCCAAACTGGGCATCCCATAATCCCTATCCAAGTTATTTTCCCTAATAAAACAACAAAACAAAGCCCATGGACTGGTCATTGCATTTTGATGCAAGTCTGTGTGAGATCTACCTCTTGACCTGGTGTGTGGAGAGAAGCTTAGGGATACCCACTACACAGTGGCGCTCATGAGGGTAGTAGCGCTATATTTATTATCAAAAATTTTACAACGGTAAAATACCAATATATAAACATTGCAATATTTTTGATAATACAGTTAAATAAATTTGACATTGGAGATTGGAAGCTTCTTGATCCTCATTGATAAATTTCTTTCTTATGGTATTTCCCATAAATAGTATTGATATACACTTAAAGTTAATTGCCCCTCGTATAGGGGAGTGAGCACTCTGTGTGTGGTCTTTTGAAGATAAGATTATACTTTGCTATTTTCTTCATGTTATGATGGTTAGTTAGAACATTTGTCTTGGTTTTATTTCTGTCTTGCATTTGAAAATGACAAAGTTGTGATTGAATATACAGGCCCATATTGGAAATGTACAAACTGCTCTGGTCTATAAAGAGCATGAGAGGGACAATGATTTAAAGCTAAAGTTTAATCTAGTTTTTGCATTCCCTGGTTCACCCCACCTGTCAGGGCTCCCAGGTGTGACCAGAGGTGTGTGGCTGACACAGGGAAACGCAGACCTCAGATATGTTATAAACAATATAATTTATTAACACTAACAATACAAACATAAACGCAGTGCAATACTAAAACACAATACAGTGCAACCAAACCAAACCAACCACCCACAGATAACAGTACATACAAGCAAGCGTCGTCAGGCAGGCCGGGTCAATATCAATAGGGCAGGTAGGTACAGGGGAGCAAGCGGAGATTGGTCGGGGTCACAGGCCAGGTTCAGCAGGTAGCAAGCAGCGTAGTACAGAGGGTCAGGCAGAGGGATGGTCAGGGTCACAAGCCAGGGATCAGAACAGGTAGCAAGCAGCGTGGTACAGAGGGTCAGACAGAGGGATGGTCAGGAGCGAGCCGGGATCAGAGCAGGAGAAGTCAGCAGTGGGTTCAGAAACAGGATGCAGGACAGAAACAGGATACAGGGCCCAGGACAAACACAACACCAAGGCAGAGTCTGCAAGTCTGGCCATCCCTTAAATACACCAGTATCATCAGTTCCAGGTGTTAGCTGGCTGAAAGGTTGAGTCTCTGATTGCTGGGAGCACCCGCTGGCCAGCCCTGGTACTGCAGATCAAAAGGCAGGTGAGTCCCACCATTGCTGGCCAGTCCATTCCTGACACCACCCCATCATCGATATGTCAGTAAGATTTAAATAAAATCTTTCTGCTTTCATTACATATCTTTTTTTAGGCCCAGGCAGGGTGCTTCACATTTCCTGAAAACATCACCCTTGGTACTTTCCTCAAGTGTACTCATCACTGATGCAAGCAGTAGACTGGCTATTGGGAGAATATACAAAGATATCACATTCTTTGATGGGTGGGTGTCAGTCTGGCTGAGTGGGCATTTCTAGGTAGATTGCATTTGTATGTACTTACACTTCCCTAGGTAATGCCCAGATTGAGTCGTAATTTTCCACAAATTGTCCACAAGGACAGTAGGGCAGGATAACAGACATCCTCCAGCCAGGAAATGAGGCTAGCTCTATCTGACTTGCTGAGCTTCTAATATACACTGTGAAAGGCTTGACTGTGCCCTGAAATCAGAGGAAGCTACTTCAGTTCCAGATGGAAGTTAAGGCTGGCGTTCAGCTTTAGGAAAGGGAAAACTTTAATCACCTCCCTTCCGGCCATTGTATATAAACAGCCAGATGGTGGCAGTGCAGGGTCAGGTGGCCGTTTATAAACGGCCTCCCCACACCCTGCTTGTGTGCGCTCCCAGTGAGCGCGCAGCACCGTGGTCCGGTGCCCGCTGTGTCCTCCGGATCATTGGACGGGACCTCTGTGCAAGGTCTCGATCATGTGATCACTGATTGGCCAATCAGTGATCACATGCAGAGTAGTAAGCAAGATGTCACATGTGACATCATTGCTTACTACGTGTGAAATCTGTGAATGATCACAGAGGTAACATGGTACAAGGCTATTCACAACAGCCTTGTACCATGTGACAAGCTGTGACCAATCACAGCTCACCCAGTAGTTCTCAATGGCTGCAAGAATGCAGCTAGAGAGAAGGACAAATGATTGCTTTTACAGCCTTTATGGGTGTAAAAGCAATCAATGTAAAAAAAAAAAATCTTCATCACCCCCCACAAGTAGTACAGTATCACCATGGTGACACTGTACTGCTAGGGTGACAATATGTAAAAAAAAAAAACATAAATAATAATATAAAAAAATTAAAAAAAATTTAAAAAAAAATGTTTACAAATTATAATTTTGGTTATAAACTAATTTGGGTTTTTTTTTACTAAAAAGATACATTTAAAGAATACATTTTGGCCAAGATTTATGATGAAATACTATTTATTTGCAAAATGTTTGGACTTTTTCATTTACATAGCAAAAAAAATTAAAAATCCCAGTGGTGAATAAATAACACCAAAATAAAGTTTTATCTGTCTCAAAAAATGCCAAAAAATTCATATGAGTACAGTGTTGCATGATCGCGCAATTGTCATTCAAAGCGTGATAGCACTGAAAGCTGAAAATTGGCCTGGACAGGAAGGGGGTAAAAGTGATTGAACTGGAAGTGGTAAAAGACAAAACAATCACCAGTGGACATTTGTAATCATCTGAGTCTCTATTCTTAAACTGTTATAATATACAGCCTTATCTTACGGAATTACATCATTTTTATTTACTTGTATTCTCTCCCTAGCTGTAATGCCATCCTATCTTGTGACTGACCCAGTGCTAATTATAGGTACTCCAAAAAGTGCAATATGACTACAGAAAGTTTCTGTCAGCATTACAAGAAAGAAAACTTGCAGCTTTTGCAGCTTTGTCATTTGACAGTTTTACCCTCATCTAGAAGCCCAGAAAGATTGTCAGTTATCAGCTTGGAGCTCATGCAGGAGACTTTTGATTTGAAAGAAGACCTTTAAATCATCTAAAAAGTACTTCATATGTCCACACATATATTCAAAGATTGTTTCACTGCAATTTGCCATGGTAAACTATGTTTAGTCAAATAATACTTGAGTGCCACAAAGGTCACATTTTCTTCCTCTTCATTTATTCTTTGATACTGGCTTTTTTAGCTAACTTTACAATATTTAGTGTAGATGTTACACAAATGTGATGTTTTAATTTGTTAAAGAGAAACTGAGCATCCCAGGAAATGTGTCAGCTTGGACCATGTTTATGGGATACTTACTGTATTGTATATTTCACCATAGTGAACACTACGAGATGATTTCATCACATTTTAAATTCTAAATTCTAAAATATATTAAGGGATAACTGTATGAAATAATGAGTATAAAAGTAAAATATATAGTGTTGCTTAAATGTATAAACATACAAGGTGCTTATCCCAGAATTGCAGAGCCATAAACAAAATACAGAGAAGAAAAAGGGACTTTTTAAGCACAAAAACTTACAAAAGAAAAAAGGTTTTATATAAAAAATACAAGTTTATTGAACATAGTACATCAATGAAAAAACTTAGACACAATACATAAAACGTAATTTCTGATGCAAATGGAAATGATTGGACTATATATCACCAAAGAAGAAAACCCCAATGTGTTTCAATTCATTGAATTTATCATTTGAATCTTCTTCAGGGAGAAAGATGTGAAATGCCATAAGCAGTATTCTAGAAAATAATAAAATATTTCCGTAATGGAGAAAAAACAATAAAAAAATATTGAATTATTTTATTATTTTCTAGAAGCTTTTCTGCACTTTTGCCCCCATGTGCATTCCCTCCCCTCTTTCCATCCCATCCCCTCTCCTACCTTGGCATGGAGCAGCTCCTCGCTCTTGTCCGCCAGGCAGCAGAGCAGTGGGGAAAGGACTGGCTGTGGGGTCTGGTGGCTGGACTTCCCCAAATGACTCCTGAGGTCTGACCACGCTGGGTCCGCCGCCCTGCTTCCCACCTCAGCCCATCCCCTCCTGTGCAGCATTTGGGCAGTAGGAGCCTCCTCCTGGGTATCGGGCATCAGAGGAGAGCTGCTGCTGCTCAGAGATCCTCCTCAGGCCGCAAGGATCTTGCTGCTGGGTCCTCTGTGCATGTGGAGCCGGACGGAGTTACAGGGGGCAGAGCTTCCTCTCTGTCAGTGCTCTGCTAGGGCATCCACACTTCTCCCCCTGATTGACACAGACTATGGGGAGAGAAGAGGGTCACACCAGGTCCTGCCAGCTTAACCCCTGCAGTTTCGCAGGTGAGTGCTTCCAATGTCCCATCCTCACCTCTTATTTCCTCCACTCTGTCCCTGCCTTCTCCCATTCTTCTCTTTGGCTCCCCGGCTGTGGAACAGCAGCTTCCATCTACTGCTGGTCAGCCTACACAGCCCATCTCTCTTCTGCTCCCTGTCCTCCAGTCCTTTCTCTCCCCCTCCTCACAGGTCCTTGATAGCAGGCTGGTTCCCCCATCCCCTCCTTCTCAGGGATCACTTGGGGTGGCTAACTTGGGGGGTTCTGTGTCTCTCCCAGTTGTTCTGCTCTCTGCTTTATCTTCACAGGTACCACATTAAGGTGGGATTTGCAGCGAGCTCTGGTCCGCACCTCCTGTGGCTTCTTCGATGGACTTCCAGAGAGGCATGGCGGTGGCCTTGGGATCATCGGACACCGATGGGCCGAATCCCAATCGTCCAGTCAAGGGAAGTGAAGTGCCTGCACCTCCCACAGGTGAGCTCTCACACTCCATTGTTTGTTCACCCATTCCACGACATTGGATTGGGAAGTTCACAGGTTCGTGCAAAATATCCGGGCTTTGCTTGAGAATTTGGAGGCCGGGTCTGGGGGCCAGCCTGTGAACTCTAGCATGTTCTGGGATTCGTTGCGGTGTGGTTCTTCCCTGCAGGTTCCCTTGTCCACAATGCCCACAGCGTGAATTTCATCTACAGTGGTTTCTCATCTGGTCTGGGTGCTCGCGGCTGGGGTGTCCTCCACGTCGGCATTTGATACCTCTGTACTGGGTACTGTTAAGCTGCCTGATAGGCCTGTCCCAATTTCAGACTCGGTGAAGGGGCACTCCTATGTCTGTTATGAGGGTCCCCTGGTGCTCACCTTAAGCCGGACATTAAGGAAAAAATCTGGAAAAGAGAATATATCGACATTTTCACCTTACTCCCGTTTGTGGTGGTTTATGATCTAATTTAATTTAAATAATTAGGGCGGTGTCCTGATCCCTTAAACAATATTTTGCAGTGCCTCCAGCCGTTAAAATATGGCAAATATTTGATAAACCAACAGTTTGGACACCTTAATAATTTGATCACCACTTAATAATATTCCTTGAGTTCTTTTCACCAATGTGATTTTGTTACCATATACACAAAATTTTCCTTTTTGATAAATAAATAAATGTATTTATGTACAAATATTTATATATATATTGATACAAATGCAAATTACTGGTGATGAATGTAATCTCTACGGTATAATACAATATATGTTTACCCAATGATGTAAAACAAATTTTAAAGGGGTTAGTTTCAACTTATAGTGCTTCAGATATTATTTCCAATTTCCCGCAGCCGTAGGTAAATAAGAAAGTATCTCTGATGAATAGCACCACAAAAACACTACAAATTACTTAGTATACAGTATATGATCTCAATATCAATACTCAAACAGTTATATTAATAACACAGGTCTGCAAAAAAAAATTTTTCAAGAGCTGTTTTGGTTATTCTACATAATCTTTATGTTTTTTGTTGTGCTGAATCCGAAAATGACCTCCATTTTGTCATAGGACATCACGTTTCCTGACAATTTAGGTAACTATGTTAAATAAGGCAAAACCTCAAAATAAATGGAAATAAACTTATAAAATTAAAGTTTTATTACAATTTTTTCATGAAAATCCTTTTTTGAACTAAAATGAGCTCACCTACACACACTAAACTTGATTCTTCTTCCCTGTGAGGCTCCTCTTGGTGCATTTACGCTTGTGAGAAACATCTGGAATGTCTCTCTGAAGCATCCAACAGTAGTCTGCCATCATTGTAATGCTCCATCTTCCTGGTATCTCCTTTCCATCTCTTTTATGTCTTGGTGGAATCGTTCACCTTGTTCCTCACTCACAGCTCCCAAATTTTCAGGAAAGTAGTAAAGGTGGGACTAGAGGAAATGCACTTTCAAACTCATCAGGCAACCTAAAGCTTGAAATGCTTTCAGCATTCGTCCGACAATCTTTTTGTAGTGAGGATCTTTGTTATTGCCTAAAAATTTCTGTACGACTTCTTTAAATGCAATCCACCCTTCTTTTTGAGGATCCGTCATGGTATTGACA